CAGTACACACGCATCCACCGTTCACAAGACAAGAAGACAGGGTCCTTGCGTAGGAGGATTACCCAGGAAACTAATGGAAGAGTTCCGGAAGAAGTTCTTTCATACAGAATGCCGACTCATTTCCATTCAAGAGCGGGACAATCATTCAGACGCATCATCATTCGAGAGGAGAGAGAGAGAGAGAGAAAGAGTCAAAATAGAAGACGACAAGGTCCGAAAAGAGAAAAGTTCGGCGTCACCGCCTTACACTCATGCCAAGAACAATCTGCAACAAAGGCGCATTCGCCGTTAATTCCACTATGGCCCCGGGCCAATCACTCACTCAACTCCAGTCATCGAACCTCATACCCGCACCGACGATCCCGGCCGTCGCGTGCTAACTCCCACCACTGCGATCGTCACCCCGCTGTCGTAAACTCGACACGGTTCGCCCGGATCCCACAGTCCGTCGTGGCGATCAAGCGCGCAACCGGCCAGCCTATCGTCAGCCCGACAGGACTTTCCGACTCACATCAATCCACTATACCTAGCCTTTGCTTCCCGGAAGTTGGCTTAGGATTCGAAAACGTAAGAGAGGTTTGCGGACGCGCTTGCGGGTTTTATAGTTGTGACAGGGGAGATAGAAGGGGGAGAAGGTGACAGGAAAGTTGAGGTGTAAGAGGAGAAGCAGGAGGAGAAGACTTTGAGAAGAGTGCTCTACGAACGCCATGCTGATCCCACGGAACTCAAGGTTCAACCAATCAGATTCGTCGTGCGATAGGAAGGTCCTATCGATCCACGCACCTGATTGGCGAGCGGGAGTTATCGAGGGATCGATCGGGCGTCGTACGCCAGACATAGAGGGTGAGAAGAGAAAAGGCGCGGGAGGTGGCGCAAGACGGGTCCAAGATTCAGATGATCAAGAAAGGGAAATGGGCGCGCGAAAGCAAGGCGGGAGAGAGAGAGAGGGAGAAGGGAAAATAGTTACGGGGAGAGAGAAAAAGGAGGGAGAAGGGAAGGGAGGCGCGGGAGGGAGCGATGCGGGGGACAGAGAGGAGGAAGCTTTTGCATGCACGGCGCCGTCAACAAAAAAAGAAAAAGGTACCGAAACAGTTACAGCTTGCTTCTATCCTAATTCAAAATTGAAATCATCATATCCGCGCGCGAAAAAGCGACGCGGGAAAGGAAAATCCTACGCCTATTCGTATTCACGCAAAATTCCGAAAGTTTTCCCCGACGCGCCCAAGAACATTCACACACCCAAAAAGGACACGTCAAAGTTCCGCTTATCCCGGAATTCACAACTACCGAGCCCAATTCCCAGTGCGCTCGCTAAGGCGCTCGTAAATTCCCATGTATTTCCCGACTTTGCAAGAAGAAAAACAGAACTCAGCAGTCGAAAAAGCTTTCAAAAAGGAAAATGCGGCACCCGAAAGCAAGAATTCAAAACGGGGTTTTCCTGGGGTTGGTATGATACAAGCAAAAGAAAGGGTACGAAAGATGGCACGGGGTCGGGAAGTGGTTCGTCACATATGTGATGCGTAGGGGGTTCCAAAATTATGCGATCTCCTGATTGCATGTCATGGCGAAAAAGAAGAGGGGAGAACAGAGTGATGCATGAGGAACCAAGCGTAGCAACAGAGCAGAAAGAAGTACAAGGAACAATAACYGGGCCGCGGATGAGATGGCGACAACATCCGTGGCAAGATCTATGTAGCCTTGTCATATGCAACCCTCTGCCTTGTGGAGAGCGTCCAGGTGACGCCATCATGGTCCACCTGATCTCCGTGTGCTCTTCACCTTTGCTCGTTGCCGTTTGTCGAATCAGCGCGTAGGTTGACGTCATCGTTGATGTCGTGATCTTCACGAAGCTTACTTATTCGTGCCGATGAAGGGAGAAAAAAAGGGGGGGGGTCAAGTGAATGGGATCTACCGCCTAGCTGGAATAGGCCAGTAGAGGCGGTACATACCGGGGATCTCGCGGGGATGACGAGGAGGGAGTGGGGGTAGGAAGCGATTCATCCCTTCCATCGTCACCGGGAGCTCCTCATATCGGATGATCCGGTGGAAGCGGGGGAAATGATCGCCACTGCGGGGGAGGGAGGCGAGGTAGTCGCAATAGAAGGAGGAGAGGGTATGGAAAAGTGCCGCTCGAAAGATCTCGAAGTGGCGGCAAGCGGGGATTGTCCCCGTGGCGACGCAATAAACTTCTACCACGTTGGATCGCTCCCATGCAGCGCTGAACAGCAGGAGATGCCAGCAGAACGTGGGAGCAGCGGACCGAAGGGAGGCGTGGGGGTGGACGGTGGCGAGTAGACGGGTAGAGTAGAAGTCGTGAAAGAGATGGGGATGGAAAGGATGGGAAGGGAAGGTGACGGGAGTATGGATCTGCTCGAGGGTGAGGAAATCAAGGGGTCGGCGGGACAGCGTCTGAGGTCGAAGGCCTATCGCCCGCATTGGTACATGGGCGAACTGGGGGACGGGTGGGGCTGGAGGAGGAGGGGGATCGGCGTCGTCTCCGTCGCGCGGTACTTGAGGTGGCGGCTGCAGGGTCGCCATCTTCGGGCCTCGGCGGCTCTGGATCCCTAGTCGGATCGCTACCGATGTGCAGGCTAGCCTTGCTAGCGAACTCCGACTGGCGCTTTCCGGAGGCAATCTCTTCGCGCTTTCGCGCCGCTTCCGGATCTTCCGCCTCTATTCCCGTACGCGTCGCTTCCTCCGACGGGGCTTCCCACTCGGACCCGGTTCCTTCTTCTTCATCTTCCTCCTCACTCAGCTCGCCTTCGCTATGTTCACTATAGCTTCCCTCCTCCGATGTCTCCTCGTCGTCGTCTTCTTCTTCGTCGTGGTCGTCGTCAATCACCACTTCTTCTGCCCTCGCGTAGAAGGCGGAAGGGATGATCTCGTACGGCTTCAGATACTCCTGCCGCGATGGTAGCGTATCCTCGTCCATAGGTTCCTCCAAGCACGAAGTCCACTGAAGGTACGGATCCAAGGATCGCTCGAAAATGTACGGAGCAGGATTGTTGTCGCTCTGAAAGTAGATGTCGGGCGAGAGATCGTCAGCCAATTGCACGATTTGTGCGATGAGTTCCTGTGCAATCAACTGACGGCGACCCGGTCGTACTGATCCAAAGAGGAATCCAATAAGATCTCCTTCCGCGTTAATCCTCCAACCCTGTATGATCAGCAGCTCCGGCTTCTCGATCCACGTGGGGTGCTCGATAGTGCCCGTCCACTTTACTTGTACTCGGGTCAGGCAGAAGGACAACTCCTCGAAAGTTTCGCGCCACAATCGCCAATGTCCAGGATTGATAAGCGGGACCGAAAGAGGCTCGAACGAGAAGGAAAGAGAAGGGTGAAGATCGGATTGCCAGAAGGTGGGGAAGAGAGAGGGGAGACCAAAGATGGAGAGAGGAGCGAGAAGAGCAGCGTGGTTCATTGGGGATGGGGGAAGAGAACGAGGGTGGGAATCACAACTGGCCGTTCGCGCGGTGATCGGCGAATGCCGTCAGGGTCCGATGCAAAGATCGGGATGATGTTATACCCCTCCCGGGCGAGACGTGCTGCCACACGTTGGACACTTGCTCCGTCCACTCGCACAGCGAGGCCAAGATCGCGGTATGCCACAGCGGATTGACCGAGCTGATGTCGCCGGTGAATGCCGCCACTGTGGTGACGTGGCTCGTTGTGGGACCCGCTCGCCGATGAACTGCAGAAACCTCCGCGAACACTATCGCGTGAGGGCTTCCTTCTATCCGAAACGCGGCGGCGGCACAGATACCTTTGTCGCAGAAGAATCGCATCAAACGGCGGAGATCCGTATTGAGCCGAGGGTGACAAACTTGCCGGATCTCTGAGATGTGGCCACGTGGCTGCCGCAACTGTGCGTTGAGAACCCGCTCTGTGATGAAACTCATGGCGAGGTCGGAGAGGAGGACGAGGGACAAGAGGGAGAAAGAGAAGAGAGGGTTAGATCGTCGTCGTTTTCCTCGCTTTTCGAGGAAGAAGAGGGAGGAAAATCAGAAGGAGGAAGGAGACGGAGGTAGGAGGTATGTCTGACGATGGGGACGGAGCTATGGCTAGCGCTAGCCTTAGGCGCGGTACGCACCATGTTGGCGTCGTTGGGCCCGAGTTCGACAATCTGAAAACAGCCAGAGAACTTGGGAGCGAGTTTCTGGTCGCGTGCACATTTACATACCTGCACTAGGTCCCCCAATTTATACTGGTACTGGGGCCCAGCATTTCCATTCCGGGCCTCGTAGCTACGGACCTGTCTACCGTGGGCCAGCTCGGTCATCCTTTGTCTTTTTCGGGTTAGCTTTGAACGGCCCGTTCCATCAAATCGGTGTACTTTTGGCCTTTGCCTTGAGGGCTGCACGCGTGTCTCTACCCCCTGCTTCGGCAATTTTCGAGTTACCCCGGTAATCGACACAGGGGAGGTTATTAGTTCGAAGCTGAAAGGGGGTGAAGCCCGTAGACTCGTGAGGGGTGGCCCAGTGGATCCCGACGATCTGATATACGAGCTCGGGCCAAGGACGCGTGTTGTGTGCCGCTAAGTTCCTGCGAAGGGCGGTTTTAATCATACGGTTGGCATTCTCGGCCAACCCATTCGACTGGGATACGTTGGGTGCCGTATGTCGGAGCGTGACGCCCCTTCGCGCAAGCAGTTCTTCTACCTCACCTTTAAATTCAGATCCATTGTCAGTTAGAATTTCTTCCGTATCTAGGTGGGTATAGAGGAATCGTTCAATGTATGTGGTTATTTCGGCGGCCTTTCGGGTCTTACAAGGATAGACTTCGATGTATTTGGAGAAATGGTCAATTAAAACTAACAGGATGGAATATTCACAGCGGTTTGGGCCAGGTGGCACGTCAATATTTGTCGTGTCCATACCGACTCGCTGGAAAGGACGGTCTACTTCCGTTGGCACGATCGTGTTTGGTCCCCGTATAGGGGCGCGATCAGCGGCACAGACTAGACAGTTAGCGACAATGTATTATATTGGACCAGAACCATCGATTCTGGTCTACAGTTGCCTCCGTGACACATATCGCGAAATGAGCGGCCTGTTCCTCGTGAGCAGATCGGATCCAATCGTATCTCGGGAAGGGATGGGGAACTGTCAGCCACGAACCCGATCCGTCAGTTTTACGCTTTTCCAAATGACCGTTGATCCATCAATAGTCCCAAGATCTCTCGGTCGCCCTACGTCTGTCGTGTTTGGTGAGATGGCTTAATGATAATCCCGCTAATTTCATCAATAGAATTTTATCCGTCCAAACTTCCGTCCGTCCATATTTTTTGTCGTATTCAGGACCGTTCGTACGGCGGTCTCGAATCGAACCTCCGTGGGGAGTTTGTTCGTTCTACACAGGGGGCACCTCCATTCCTTGCTATTCGTTTGATATCGTACGCAGGCCCCGTGCGCACGATTGACACACGTGGCACATTCTACCCAATCGACAAACCCAGTTTCGAAGGGATGACAGTCGACTCCGTAAACCCGTGCAATACAGGTGCAAAAATAACAGAATTTATCGGGGAGGGTGTCAAAGAAAGCTGAGGAAGTAAGAGGGGCAGAATTAGTAGGAGAAGAAGGGGTTGTGAAGGTAGGCGGGGTAGTCATGATGACAGAGGGGAAGAGACGGGACTGAATTGTGGAGAGAGTAGAGCAGGCAAATTAGTCCTCATGCCACCTACTGCTTCGACAAAATCTCCACTTGGCCGTATAGAGGTCCAATCTTCCGCTCGGGTTCGTTCCACGGAATCACCTCCTCATTCCTCGAAACTTTCTCAGGCCGGTGCAGTCGTGTCAATCCATCCCCATTCCCATGTCTCTCGTGCTTCTGATGACGAATGTCAAAGTCCATTCTCTGCAGCACCGTTGCCCATCGCCCAATCATGCCCGAGTAATCCTTCGACTTCTTCAGAGTCAACAGGGGCTCATGATCAGTCACCAGGGTGAACTTTCGCCCATACAGGTAAGCACGAAAGTGACTGATTCCCCAGAGAGCCGCATAGCATTCTCTCGTCGGAGCGGCGTAGTTGCACTTGCAGGTGAGTATTGATTTGGACGCATACTCCACCACACTCTCGAGTCCACTTGGTCCCACCATGGGCAAGGATCGCCGAAATCGCCTCTGGCTGCCAGTCGGTGATGAGAACAAAAGGCTTTTCGGGATCCGGTTCTATAAGGATAGAAGCCGAAACGAGGGCAGCCTTTTGTTTGGAAAACGCTTGATCGCACTCCGGCGTCCAGATCAACGGCTGATCCTTGCGCAGGAGATTTGTGAGGGGTCCCGCAATCGTCGCGAAACCCTTGATAAATCTTCGGTAATACGAGGCTAGGCCCAGAAAGGCGTGAACTTGCCTGATAGTGGTAGGCACTTGCGCGTCCCTGACAACTGCCACCTTCTGCGGCTCCGGTTGGAGTCCCTTGTCTGTCACCACGTGCCACAGGAAAGAAATGGTGGTGAGGAAAAAATGACACTTCTCAAGCGCCACCTTGAAGTCGGCATCTCGTAACGCATGCAGTGCCCATTCGATGTGCGGCACGTGTCCCTCGTAGGAGCTCGAATACACCAGGATGTCATCCATGTACACGATCACGCAGTAGTTGATGATGCTCTGCGCCAGGCGAGTCTTCCGTACAAAATTATGAAAAGCCATGTTCATAGCCCGTTGGAAAGTCGCAGGGGCGTCGCAGATACCCATCGGGCATCGAATCCATTGCCACGTACCCTCGAAAAGCACAAACGCGGTTTTCAGACGATCTTTTTCTCGGACAAGAAGATGATGGAATCCATGGCGAACATCAAACTTGCTGAAAAATCGAGCACTCCCAATCACATCCAACAATTCATCAATCCGGGGGAGAGGGTACACATCTTTAATCGTGATATCATTCAATTTTCGATAATCAATACAAATACGAATCCCTCCGGCTTTTTTAGGTACGATTACTACGAGAAAAGACCATGGACCTATAGCAGGTTCGATCCATCCATTGGCTTCGAACTCCTTAATCCGCTGAAAGGCGGCCGCTCGTTGAGCTGGCGAGTATCGGTAGGGAGCGTTGCTAATGGCGGATGATCTCCCGTGAGAATGGCATGCTCAATTACATTAGTTAAACCGATATTATTGTCATGCTCGCTCAACACTTTTGCGTAACCATTCAATACACAGGCTAACGACTTCCGAAGTTTCGCGGGAACGTGACTCGGGAGGGGGATCGTTGATTCCCTGGACATATTAAGGGGCATATCGATCCAATCAACCGGCCGTTCCCGCCGCTCATGGACACTAGAGAAAACGGAACTACTGGTGCGAACAGAAAAGACAGTTGCTATCATCTGGGACTCAGCGGGGCTGATCATCTCCGGTTTCTTTAGTTCCAGCGTCAGTCTCTGAACCAACCGAAGTTGGTTCCACAGGTAACCCTGTTAGATCCGTCATTTCTTGCATTAGATTCGGCACGTCACTTACCGGTGCTTCCACTTCTTGTTTAATCAAGGTGATGGTGGTTCCCGTCGTTAGTAATGATCGGGGTGGAAAAACAGAAACGTCCAAATACTGTTCCGTTTGCTGATAACGCGTTCGTAAAGAAAGAGCTCCCTCATACAAGGTGCGAGGGGGTTCCAAATCATCAGCCAGATCGAAAACTTGTATTATGGGTTTCCCGAGGAGGACTGAAGGACTGACCTGGGTTGTTAGAGGCGTGAATGCACTGTCTTCAGAATCCACGTGGAAGCTTCGAGCAGTGTCGGGGCACACTCGAAATTCTTCGGGGGTTTCATATTTGAAAAGTTGAACCAGATGCTTTCATTCTTCTTCGCTGGGTATCTCTTCTTCGTATTCCTGTTCCCTAATTCCGTTACTGAGGTCTGAGGGCGAGCACTCCTCGGGATCAATGTATCGAATCATCCCGATGGGAGCTGAGTTAGGGACCCGTTTTATCATTCGGGTGGAAACTCGCAAAGAAACAGTTTGAGGTTTTCCTCCAGTTTGCGTGAGCACCAGTTGCTTCGAATCGAAATGCAGACGGGCGCCCACCGCCATTGCCCAAGGTAATCCCAACAACACAGAGTAGGAACGTACATCTATTACGAGTGCGTTAACAAGGACGTGTACTCGCCCGACCTTTACCACCACGTTCTCAATAATGCCTACAATGCTCATGGGTTCCTCGTCGGCAGAGACATAGTTGTCCTTGCCAGATTGAGGAAGAATAGATCCAAGTCGTCTCGTCATTTTGACAGTATCTAACGATATGGCCACTGCAGAAGACCCTGTGTCGATAAGGGCATTAAACGGCTTGCCCCAGACTTCACAGTCACATTCTGCGCTTTTCCATAGTACCGGTCGAACTCGTATGAAGTGATTTTTTTCTGCTAAAGAGATTGCTGCTATGCGTGCAGCTTCGGGTGCAGGTTCTTTTGTGTCCGGCTCAGGGGATACCACTTGCTCACCTTCTTCCTTCTTCTTCAACATCCGTTGTATGCGTTGATAGGTGAAACGCTTTTGATTTTTCTGGCAGTGTTGTAAAAGTTTATCGTTCGCCGCTTCAGATATGGTGAGCAGATGCCCCACTGGGATGGGAACGCGAATATCTCATTGCTTGAGCGTTTTCAGTACATCAGTGTCTCCTGTCCGAAACTGCGGTCCTGGATTGGATTCGCGATCGACCCACTCGAGATCATCTGGGACTGATCGGATCGCTCCGATCATGCCTGCGAGATGGAGATACTCGAGAGGATCGACCACGTCTGCAGCGTCGGAGGAAGAAGCTCCCGATGTCGACGTCGTTGCCATCGAAGGGGAGGGCTGCTCTGTGGCATATGCCACGAGTTCTCTTCCTTGATCCGTATCCATCAGAGCGGTCATTCGTCCTTCATTAAGGGCAATGGGGGCCGCATTACGTTTCGGTTGCGGACAGTCCCGGGCGAAATGCCCGGGTTGCTTGAAGTTAAAGCATTCGATCTTCCCTGTTGGATTGGCTAGATGAGGGAACTGAGGCGCGAACATCGGAGCAGGCGGGGCAGGTAAGAGTGGAAACGATGCAGGGGCAGACCGAGCAGGAGCTGGGTTAGGCTTAATGAGCCGGCTCATTATCTATTCCATCCGTTCCATGTGAGCCGCCTGCATTTGGATCAGGTTACTCATCCATTCAGACTGCTTGGTAGTGGCCGTATGGATCATCTGGGCAAGATGCAAATTAGTTACGGTCGGCGACGGGGGTTCAGATGAAGTTCCGCTTCTAACAGCTGCGATCGATTGATTCACTGGGGGAGAGGGAGGAAAAGCAGGCGGGATATCGGAAACGGTTCCGCCGGGAAGGTCATGGTCGGGGCGAGGATAAAACCGTTCGATCGCCTGTAGCCATGATCGCCTTTTGGCCGTTACATCCCGTATGGTATCTGTAATATCCTCGTCTCCCTGGCTGATATATTTTTTCGTATCAGCCAAGTCTAGCTCCAACGCTTTAGTAATGATAGCCGATAACTGGGTTGTTTTCGGCGAAACCTTTTTCTGCAGTTTCCCTTTCAAGGTCGGACTTCGAAGGTGATCAATAAACAAATCTCGAGCGGATTTCTCGTCTCGCCCGGATTTATCCAATGTGGTTTGAAACCGATCAACGAAGTCGGGTAACAGTTCCCCTCGTCCCTGGGGTCGATTTTTGAGTACATACCAGGCGGCATCTTCGCTAAACGTGTCGAATCGAGCCAACAATGCATGCTTAAAAGTCTCCCAATCTACCCATGTATGCTTTCAGAACCAGTCGTGCGATGTATTGCGGAGTAGTAAGGTCAGAACACGGGGAAGATCGGTTGCGCTGTAGTTTTGAGCTTCGACAGCTTCCAGCCAAGCCTCAGGATGGGTATGGTTGGGGAAGAAGGGGAAGGGGGCAGGGATGCTAACGATCACCCTAGTACCGTCCACCATTGGTATTGCTGGCGCATCCGCACTAGACTGAGACCTGGTTACGTGGCGATCTCGACGAGCTAGTGGAGGGTCTCTCCTACCTCTTGCCAGTTCGACTTACTATCATCAGAACCGACACATGTCGGCTCCGATACCAACCTCACGCTGTCGAGTGCATTGGCCCTCGCGCGAGCGAGGGCCCTCCCGGCCGCGTCACACAGGAGAAACTTAGGCTTTCAACTTTTTAGAGACAACTCAGGGACGACACGATAACCCGTGTCGACCCTTCGCCGCTCCGGCCGAGTGCGCCAGCTGTAAATCCTGTAGTCCCCTACGACAGGATAGGTTATCACGGGGCACAACTTACCTTTCCTAAGGGGCTGTCACCACCCTTAAGGGCGTATCCCCGTCGAGCTACCAACCCACATGCGAAGGCTTTTATAATGCAATTGCAGAAGTAGGTCGGTCGAGGGCGTTTGCTCATTCGCTGTAGCATAGGTACGCATGGTTAAACGTCAAAGTGGATCTGAACGTCGTTTGTCCCTGGGGCGCTGATCTCCCAGGAATCGTACCGACACATCGGTCGACTAGGACGTGACATTCCAAGCGTAAGGAAAACTGTGAGCGACCCTAGTCCCTTCTTTCATCCGACAAGAATCGACTTGACTCCAAACAACGCTTATCAACAAAAGATCAAAGCATGACCAATACATAAAGCGACGCTCAAATGACGTCTCACTAAAGTATCTTCCCTCTGTCTGCCAGATGGTTGGCTGCCACGACTTTTTCGACTTGATGAGACGCGTTGCCAAGTTCTTTCTTTCCGCCCCATACTGACTATTAGCAAGGAATATGAGTGCCCCGACTCTCAAGCAGAGTTAGAGTGCCACTTTTAAATTATGTTGGTCGCTTTGTCCTTTTGGCCAATACTTACTCTTTTTGTTTCACAAATGATGTAGTATTAACCTTCGACATAAAGACATTTAAAGCAATGCTCTAGCCACATCTTCCTGTCAACTAGCCTGATTACCCCGGGCTTGCACTTCTTTTGATGCAAACCTATCCGCGAAGGTAGTGCCTACACGCACTCTGTCCATAGCTAGTGGAAACACGAACTGGGCTTCTTATGGCGCTAGTTCCCCATTCGTCTGTGACTCCTAAGACGGACATTAGAAGGGTAAACTATAGCGGTCCTCCTTAACGCGAGCCACCAGGAACTTGACGCCTTCCGTGAATAGCGCACGCCCATCCCCTAGGAGACGGTCTGGGATACCCCTCGTCCTCGCCCGAGCGAACCTCGGATCTCAGAAGTCGGGTTGGCTCGACCACGACAGCATGGTATCCTCCCGCCTAAGCGGTCCACTCTGAGACGTTAACAAGGTCGGCCCCTAAGGCAACAAACCCCCGCCTCAGATGCCTCATAGGGAAAGGAAATGCACTTACCACAGCAGACGGTCAGTCCTTTGTCGCCTGATGTCAAGGGCGAACCTAGACAAAGAAGGAGATCACAAAGAAGAATAATATTCAGATGGATGGGTATAGACAAATAGGGTCATTCGGGAAAGAATGGGCGGCCTCAGAAAAAAGTCTATGTCCAATTGATTTCTTCTTCTTTGTGTGATCAAGTTCCTTTTCGTCGTCCACTCGTTGTCATTCCTTTCAACATGCATGCAAAAAAAAAAAAAAAAAAAACAATCATCATTCCATTCACTTTCNAAAAAAAAAAAAAAAAAACAATCATCATTCCATTCACTTTCGCTGACATGATTAAATCTCCATTTTTCAAGCATCCTTCTACTTACC